AATTCTTTTCTTTTTTCTTTTTGAAAAGTAATTTTTCATCATTCTCTTGTTTCACATTCAAACATTTTGTTTCAACAACAAAGGATTTAAAGATGCAAAACAGAATCTTTTCAAACAACAGCAACAAAGAAAAAGCGTAATTCTTTGATTCTTTGCATTTGGCAAGATTATTCTCAAGTTATAAGAATAACTTTTGAGAAGAAGAATAAAATGATCGTCAGTCAGTTATTCGTCTTATTATCATCATCATCATTATTATGGCAATAAGGAAAGTCGTCGACGTTTTCCAAAAAAAAAATAAAAAATAAAAAATAAATAAAGAGAATCCAGAATCCAGAAAATAATAATAATAATAATAAAGGGAAAAAAAGCCATGAATCAAATCGATTTTCATGTTCACCCTGAATGAAAAGAATTCATTCATACAGAATTCTTTTATTCTGTATCGATGTTTTTTTTTCTCTTTCTCACATTTTACCCTTTTTTTCTTTTGGTTCCTGAAAACACTATTTTTACCGAGGAGGTAATAATAATAATGATGATGATACCCGATCATACAGGATCCATTTATTTTTGCTATTTTAACACACACACACACAGACAGACAAAAACATTATCCGTCGACAGCTTGAAATGAAATAAATGAAAAAAAAGAAGGGAAAAAAGGAAAAAAACGATGATGATGATGATGTGTGTGGGCGCCAGCCATCCATTCATTTTTTTTTTCTTTTTTTTGTAACAATATTGGATTCTCTTGTTTTTCAAACAAAAAAAAAACGAAATTCCATTATTCCTGTTTATACAGTGAAAGTTATTCTCCTGAAACAGAATCAAAAAGATTACTTCCACCCACCCGATTCACTCCCACTCATCAACTCCCACAAACGTCATCGACGCAATCCCACACTTCATCTACCTACTTACCTGACTACCTACCTAACTATTATCTTGCAAATTCTTCTTTGTTAACTTCTTTACTTACTTAATGAAATGAATTAAACAAAAAAGAAAAATGATGGGAAAATTTTCTAAAGTCAAGCAAAGAATTTTGTTGTTTTCTTGTTTTGTTTTGTTTTGATTCAGAAAAGAAACAAACTGTCAGAGAAAACAAAACAGCCAAAATGTCATGTTTTCTGTTTGTTTGTTTCTTGTGATTCTTCTTTTTTTCTTTTCTTTTCTTATTTCAAATTCGGCGATTCTATTGCCCTTTGTATGTTTTTTTTTCGTTTCGGTTTCGTTTTTGTTTCAAATCATTAATATCTGAATGGTAGAATAAGTTTTTTGTTTGGTTCTTGATTTCTTGATGTTGTTGTTGTTGTTGTTGTTTTTTTTTGAAGTTGAAATGAGAAAATTATCCCAAAACAACAACAACAACAGAAGAATAAAATGAACATTGCATGTAAGATTTCTTGAGGAATATTCCTGAAACAAAAGTTCAAGAATATTCTCTCTCTCTCACTGTGTCGATGCAAGAAAAGATAGATAAAGAAAGAGAGCGAGAGACAGAGATAAACATGTCGTGAATATGATGATTAAATATGCAGATTCTTGTTTTGTTTTTGTTTTATTTTTTTTCTGCTTCTTACGTTTTTCGTTTTTCGATTTCGCTTAGAGTTTTTCAGAGCCTGAAGGATAGATTGATGATTTTTTTCGTTTTTCTTGTTTCATGTTAAGAACAACAATTCTTCAATTTGAATGATGATCTTTTTGTTTTTGGTTTAAACATAGAGAAAAATTTCCCGGAAATTGTAAGACTATATCGACATGATTCTAGGAAATTTTTTTTCACCACGGCTAAAATAGTCAATTTTGACAAACAAAAATAGATTCAAAGAAATCTTTCCAGAAAAAATGATTTTCTGATTGGCTATTTCGACTTCATCATCAACAACAACAACATGATTAACTTCATCATCATGATATGTGGGCGGACAAAATTCAAAAAATTATTTTCTTCATTTTGTGACGTGATAAATATTCTGAAGGTGATGATTCTGTCATTTTTAGTTAGTTTTTTCTAGAAAACCAAAAAATGGCCCCAAATTATCATTTTTTTTTTTTTTTTTGAATAATCATTTGTCATTTGATAATGATCAGGCTTTTGGTTTCATTTCAATT